CTTTAATGGTGAGATACGGGTACAGTGCTTTTGGTGCATGCGCCAGACGTCTTTCCGACCTCAGTTGTGGCTTACGCTTGGCCACGAATGTCCTCCGCAAGCCAACTGCCTTCAGACATAGCTGCGCTGATCCCCGGTGCTACTAAGCGCTTGAGACGACTCGCAGCGCAGTCGCTGCTGTCTCCCACAACGTCCTCCACTGCGCGAATTCACTGACATTGATCGTTATTTCACATCGTATCTAATAAATGCATATCACAGCGCAGAAACAGCCCACTCCACCCGACACTAAGGATGAACGGTATTGAAACAAAACGAGCTCCCACACCGTCTTACCCAGCAGGTCCATGAATCACCACCCATGCTCACACACAATCATATCTGCTACAGGAGAGCCTGGAACTTAGCAATACAGACAGCCTACCCCGAAAAGACTAGTTGCCATCTAACGGCACACTTCCTGGGCAGAAACGTTCGCGATCGGAAGACGAAAGCAGGTGTCCCTATACGCCGAGCGTAGACTCGTGCACAAAAATTGCACATCGATACGGTGCTCGCACATTCACGTCCCCCAAAGGGTCTATCCCTGCCAGCAGACAGACGACAACCGTCGAAGGATACGTAAGCGCGCCACACAGATGAACTCGCCATTTAGATGCATACTTCCTGGCCGGAAACGCCACTCGCTGACATGGCACGTTATCCGGCGGCTCCACCACCCACATCTACCACATTATCTACTCTCCGTAAATGCATTCCACTCTAAGAGCGTACTTCCTGTGCAAAATAGCAGGGGGTCGCAACGACACACACGACGTCGAGATACCGCAGCCCTACATCCCCGCACATACACTCTCACAGCAGCACTATTTTGACGCATGCACTTCCCCTAGCTTCCTCCGAAACAATGCACAACACCTTCCGACCACGCAGATATGCCACATTATATACTCCGCATAAGTGCATTCCCTTATAAAGGGATACTTTCTGGGCAAAGCACAGCGCGCTCGCAACCCCAAACACCGCGTCGACACTCCGCGGCCCTAAACCGCCGCACACAAGCTCCACAAACACCCAATGCGCACTCATGCACATCCTGAAGCTCGTTCCCAACCAGTGCGTGTACCCCTCTTTTACCCACGCATGTCTACACATTCTGTGGTCCGCCAAAATGCATTCCCCTCTAACAGCATACCGTCTGGGCAAAGCAACGGCCGCTCGCAGCGCCAGACACTTCTTCGAAGCACCGCGGCCCTAGACCACCGCACACAAACTCCACAACCCCCCGATGCTCACGCACGCACCTCCCCTAGGTCCTTCCCAAATACTGCCTAGAAGACTCTCCATCACGCATATCTAACACATTCTATACTGCCCATATAGGCCTTTGCTCCTCAGCGCATACATCCTGAGAAAACGAGCGAGCGACTGCAA